CGCTAGAATTTGAAAATACACAGCCGAAAAAAATCTGCCTCGTCCTTCAGACCAGGGGTTCCCAACCTTTTTTCCCAAGAGCCCCCCCAAATGACTCCTGTTGGAAGTTGCGCAACAGCGGTAATTAAAGTTTCAAAGTCTCAAAATGCTACAACTACTGTCACAAACTGGATGAATGTGAAGTATTTTGTTAAAGGAGGATGAAAGCGTAATTAAGGAGCGCTATTGGAGTGACTTTGATGGTTATTGGACTCAGGATTCATTCAGTTGGATTCCCGCTGCATGAAGAAATGAAAAGGACAGCGCAAGTGGAAACAATTCACAAAGGGATTAAACCGTTTAAAACACATGCTCAAAGTAAGCCGGATTTTGCCGATGTGTTTATGTGGATTCAAAAGTCGTAAATAATCTGCAAAATGGAGGAGACCGATCTGATCGGAGCAACTGTGACAAATAATCCATGTTTTAAAAATGCGCTTATCCAGACAAGCCTGGTTTGGACACTTTGCGGGCAGAAGAAACATTTCTATTAAAGAAAGAATTATACATTTCTGTCTTTTTATGCCTTTAATACTAACTTGAATTTTTATTAAAATTAATTAATCAATTATTGTTTTATATTTTATTGTAATGTAGAGACAAGGCTTTTAGTGACAATCGTGTATTGCCTTACAATTATATGTAAAAAAAAAAAATGTAAAAGAAAAAAAAAGTCTAAATATGATATTTGGCCTCAAATCATCTGAGGCCTGGCGCGCCCCCTGCCCCTAGGTTGGGAACCACTGCACCAGTGTTCTTTGTAACCAAATATCTCCCAGAGGGGCGTGGGGAGTGGCTCCTTATTTTCATCTAAAGTAAAAGACAGAGAATCAGGGAACAGAGAAACAGGGCTGAAACAGAGAGGATTATGGGTAATGCTGCAATGATCTGTTTGGTCTTTCAAGCCAAACACCTCACAGACATTTGTATATATCTGAGACCTATAATATATTGATGAAAAACAGTATAATAGGGGACCTTTCAGTCAATAAATGCTCCTCAAGAGATACAAAAACACAAAAGCAGTGAATAACACAAGAGAAAACTGAAATAAAAAGTGACTAAACTTGATCTGTCATGCATTTTTGTATTCTCTCCTTTCCTCTCAGTACTTCCAACTTGTATGGTTTGGTTTCTTGTGCACAAAACACTCACAAAAGGTCAGGATCTCTAACAAGCGTTAGGCAATACAGAGCTTGTCAACCTGTTTACATCCCTATTCAATAGTTTTCTTGATTAACTGATTTCAGGTCCATAGTATACATTTTTTAGCATTAAGTCAATAAATGCTTCTCAAGAGATAAAAACATAAACGGTGTGAACGCCACAAGAGAAAAAATAAAAATAAATGATGCACTCATGATACATGAATAAACCCACCTGTGATGAGCAGAGCTGATCAATGTGTTTGTGAACATTTTACCACCCAAATTGTATCCATAAGTGACAAACCAATTTATACCTGCTGCCTTTTATTTGTTTCTCTTTTTGTCGTATTTCTGCCATTTGCTCATTGCCTCTTTATCCTTTCCATTTACTTGAATGGCGAGTAATTTGCGACAATTTGGCGATTTTATTTTGGAGAGAGCAATGTCTGCACTGAGAGGTGTAGAAAGAGAAATACAAGGGAAATAAACGAGGGTGAAGTGGGGAGACGACAAGGTGATGAGGATAGAGAATGAAAGACTTCACGGCTCTGATCTGTATGCATTCACCTAAATTGAATGTTTTGGGGCTGATTCAAAGCGTGTCTCTCGCTCACAGTGGCTGGTGAGGAGATGCAGGAGAGAGTGAATATCACAGGAGCTTTCGAGGTGCTGTCTCGCCGTTTCCACTGACTGGTTTCAACAGGGCAGACACTCAGACTGCAGGACTCATCTATTGTGGGCGAGGAAACTGGGAGTTTGTCCAACAACTGGATGAAATGAAACCAATGGAGACTGAAAACTATAGGCTAGAAAAACGTTTTGTTCTCCAGACCTGAACCCTAAGGGCTCTGTTTTAGATCAACAACTTCTAACTTGTGCATGATTGTTGCTATGACGATCAGATACATACGGATTGGTTTGGTTCCATGTATGTATCATTTTTGCAAGATATCTACTCATACTTGCCAACCTTGAGACCATAGACTGTATAAAGCTTGAGACCCCAGAAATCGGGAGCATTTCAAAACCGGGGGGGGGCTCAGATTTTCAACCAAACAAACAATGGTGTAGCTGTATTAAAGTCCGAGTGGAAACACTCCTGAGTAAATCAGATTTTTTCAGAAATCGGGAAAAATGCGGGAGAAATATGACCTCGGGAGGAAACCGGGAGAGGGCAGTGAAATCGGCAGTCTCCCGCGAAAATCGGGAGGGTTGGCAAGTATGTATCTACTGTACATTTTTTTTTAAATTTAAATCTAAGCTCACTTTGAGGATCTTATTTTACACAAATGTTTTTTTATTTAATGTGATTTGCTGTTTATTAGGGTCAAAATCGGTGCAAATCCTAAATAACAAGATATTCTGTATTCATTTATTATACATTTGCCGTGTACAATAGTTTATATTACTGTATTATTTTCAATGTCGTCAGTTTTTAACACATTTGTTCTACAACAAAACTCATAGGTATCTTTGTAATAATGTTGCAGGGATCACTTGCAATCTATAATCATTCAACATTCCTGTGTAGTAGATATATTACAGTATTATGTAAAGTCTGGTTTAGTTATGTGAAGATTAACTGGTGATTTTGACGCAGGATCAAAAGCTTGATGAGTAGGCCTATAGTCAAAGATGGGTGTTGGATGTTCGGCATGTTGGTACACAAGGTTTGTATTCAAAGTGTTGCAACGTAGCTTTTATATAAAGATTGAATAAAAAGATGGAAAGACAAGGTCAATCATAGTTTTTTTAATAATGATTTCAATAAGGATTCAAAGTTACTTTGTAGTCGACTTACACAATGATTTATCAACTGCAAAACAAATTAATCAAATAGCAAAAACCCTTTCCTTTTCCCCTCCCCCCCCCCCACACACCATATCCCACTTCCTGTCTGACTCCACATCACTGCTGCACGGTCACAGTGACTGAAGGGTCCCAGAAATGTTGTGTTACATCCCAGTAAGAAAGAAAAAATGTCATCATGAAGAGCTGTGAGTTAGACTTAATGAATGCCCTGTGATTTTTTTTTGTTCCATTTTTGTTCCGCTCAGTGTGTGGGCGCTTCACCGAGTCAAACTATAGTGACTTTTAAAAATCCACCTGGTAATGCCAGCGTGTGGTGGGAGCACAGTGTGTTCACAGAGCGGAGTATCGCTCAACAAAAGATATAATTCATGTGTTCCCTTACCATACAGTCTTAGTTACTCCCTGGTATGTACAGGAAGCTACCTGATGCTCTTCTGAAATGTAGTTTCCCTGTTCCTCCTTTTCACAGGCTTCTTCTCAGATCCCATTGATGCATCTGCACTCCCTGCCTGGCCGTATCAAAATATTTAATTTATTTAAAAATATTTATAAATAGATGTACCCACAACTGTGCACTAGTTGATGAGGCCTTCATTCTGGGTAAATAAGTGGATTTATTGTCTATAGTTATATAATGTGCTTTTATTGCTCCAAAACAACTGAACACATAAGATAAAACCAAATGACCAAATGTGAACTCTTGCTGTTCTAAAAACCTCCTTACGCCTATCCTTATGGTGTTTATTGATAAACAAGAACACTGTATTGATGTATCAAAAGCACAGGGAGCCCACTCTCCTTTCTCTTTATTGTTCCCAATGGCATTAGCGAAGCCCAAAGAGTTGGCTTCACAGGCATCGCCGGGGGCCAATTTAGATCAAGATTCATTAATTGGGAGATGAGAAGAACCGTGTTTGGCTAGAACTGTTCTTGTTCCTCGCTGCCAGGTCTGTGGGGAACCTCCAAAAAGGCTGTGAACGAGGCCCAGGAGTCAGTGACAAAACAATGTGAAATCCAGTTTGGATCCCATTTAGTTAGCAAAGCTTTCTGGTAGAAAAACATCTAATCTAGTTTTGTACGTCTAAAGCTAATTTGGCAAAAACAGAGATTGAACATAAAATCTGCCTGAAGTTTACAACCCCCACTAAAAAGCCACTTAGAAACAATCTGTATTCCCCAAACAGCTGGATCCATAGTGAAAATATTAAATGGAGAGTCAAATATCCAAATATAAAACCATCTTCCATTATCACACCAATACAAAGCATCAAATGACATTCTAGTTCTGAACATCAGAGAAAAAAAACACAAAAAACAAAACTTTAAAAAAAAAGGTAATGTTCATTAAAACGATCAAATGTCCCTGAGGGTGGATAAACACTACAACGCTTCATTTAGTAATACATTTAATCCGTATCACATTTACAAGATGTTGACTTTGTTAAACGGCTTGTGAAAAAAATATACATTTTAATATATTTATGTAGATATCACTTTAGTTGAATCATATATCAGCAGTGTTTATCCACCCCCCCTGAAATAAGAAGAGGATAGAAAGTTGGCACTGAGTGGAGGAGCGTTGATGAAACACATCTGGGGATGCGCTGCAATTCAAGCCCTATTTCTTTCAAATAAATAAAGACTTTTATCATAGAATTCCGTTTTAGTAAGTCATTTTATGGAGTGAATGCTAAATGAATATAGAAAAAAAATTACATTCTTCATTCATTACAGGGAATTCAGCTCGCCCCGCTTCCCTTCAATGACGTTTATGGAAGCCCGTCATCATTTTCTTTTGATCAAAACTAAGCCTAAACTAACCGCTTCCAATGCTTGGGTTGTAAACAGACTGGAAAACAACACAGCGCCTTCATTTATATGCAGATGGGCTGCCTTTGTCAAGAATAAAACTAGTTTAGGCTCCTGAAAAAAACTAAACATGAACGTTAACTTAGATGCTTGTAAAACGTCACAAGGACTGAAGTCACTCATTAAACACGATCAGCAGTACGAATGTAAACATCACTTCTAGGCAGCATTCATCTCCTTATTGATACCTCTAACACTAATGAAAATAGGATCTATTTAAAATGTTGAGCGGGGGGGCATTAATAGAGTTTTTGTCCAGAGCAGAAATCCAAACATGATAATCTATGAAGAATATAAAAACCATGTTCTCTGAAAGAAAGACTTTCTCCCATCCCCCATCATGCCCCGCAAGGACAACTCTGCGTTATATGGTGCAATATCACAGCTCGTTTTGGTTTAACCCTCTAATAAATATATTACTAACCATCAATACACAATACTGTAAATTCTGCATCTTGCCAGCTATGTATGCAAAACAATAATGCCATAAAGACACTCACAGACCTGCTTAATAATTCAACATCCTCATAAATCCTAAAACCAGATAAATACGTACACAAACTCTTCTCTCTTATCAATATAATACAAACATAATCTCTTATAACACAACTCCTTCTCCTCTGCAATATATAACATACACTGATGGCCTAAAATGATTTTACGCTATTGACTGAGGGAAAGACCGCTTATCAAAAAACACATGCTCTTTACTCCGTTATAAAAAGCAACATTCAAATCATCGGCTTCGCACAACTTACAAAAACACTGTTGATGATTTTTGATGAGCTGTCAACTCTCGGGCAACAAGGTAGATTAAACCGGCTGCAGCCAAAGTAGATTCCTTTGATTAAAAAATGGGTAAAGTTCCTCTGTTTTTGGTTTTTATTTCAGATTTGCTATCAAATAATAACCCTAACTTTTAAATTACCCATATTTTTAACCAAAATTCACTCTTGGGGATGCGTACCGTTAGTATTTCAGTCATCAAATTCTTTAGATTTTGTGATTTACTTATTCCATTAATGCTGTTAAAAATGTAAGAAACTATTTGTGAGCTTTACCAAATGACACTCACAAAGGTCTGCATCATGACACATCATAATCATTCTGTAAGAGCCTTTGACAGTACTGAGAAGAAACGAAGAGTCTCCATGCCAGCCCTGACAGAACATTCAACCATACGTCAGCATGGTGTTTACACAGTAAACATAGTCCTGTTTTCTGTAGCAAATCAGACAAATACTCGGCAGGGCGGGGGGGGGGATTGATTGACTGAAAAACTGCCTCCCTCGTCAGTAAATCAGCAATCTGCCAACCGATTCTGTTTTCTGCAATCCAAAACTAAATTACATTTAGAGCCCCATGATAAGTAAACAGTGTAAACTACATGACCTTGTGTTTATTGTTTTCCTCCCATCAGTAGATGCGCATGTCTGGATTACAAGTGTTTTTGAGCGCAGGGATTAATAATCCAATTCTTTAGAGTGCATTTATGTAAAATAACATAGTTTTGAGGAAAAAAATCAGGAGATCATCTTAGATTTTACTCATCATGTTTTGGCGAGTACATTAGGGGAAATAAATATAACTGACATTAAACCCAATTAATATGAGTGGAATCTTTTTTTCAACCTTGAGGTCAAATGTTAAGTGATAGTTAGTTTTAGGGCAGAAAGCAAAATGGCTTGACTTGCTTTTATTTAAAAAAGGGACCATTAGAGGCATTTGTCAAGGAAAATGTTTGAAAGCTCACCAGGTGTTGAAAGCACTAAAAAGATTGGATTCAGATGAAAGAGGGTCTGAAATGTAATTTGGTCAAAACGCTAGATAGCATTTATATTTCTCTATGACCTTATGCTGACCTAACAATTCAATGCCTGCATTATTTCTTCACACCAAATATCCAAGGCCATGACTCGGTGCTTTTTCAAACTGTAATTTTGTAAAAAGCCTGCTGCACTCCTTTTTAATGATCGCTTGATTTTTATTAAAAGATGTCGTAGAACTGAGCCCTCAGTAGACTCAAGCAGTGATCCTGTCTTTTTCTGCCGAGGTAACACAGAGCTGTCAAGCCTAACCCAGAGGGGCTGATAAGATGCAGCTGAAGTGCTGAAGCAAGCTCCCTGCATGTTTCCACACTGCCAGTGACAGAAGCACACAAAGAAACTCCTTAGCGATAGCATCTGAGCTAGAGCGCTGGTTCACTTTCTGACAACAGGTCAGGACCTCGACGATTAAAATTAGTAGATGTAGAGGTAATGATGCACAGACAGCACTTTGAGACAAGAACCAATTTAGTCAACAATTAAGACCAGCAGTTCTCCTTTGGTGCTTTTATCTTTGTACATTTGTAACCCTCTCATGTGCAATTATCTCAGATGCTGATTATGGGACCCAATTCGTTTTTTTCCCTCATTTAAGATCCAAGCAGAAGTTTGTTGTGTTGCTCTGAGCTTTAGAGACATACTGGGGTTACTTTGAGGACAGGAGAATATATAAAATATGAGGACAGCAAAAAAGGGTAGCAACAATTATGGCACACACAACTCCTTGACTCTCTTTCAAACTGCAGCTCGTCTTCAGTGGATTGTAATCTGACTTAGACTGGACCAGAAACACACAGCAGTAGGAGAGGAACAACAAGTCTAAAGTGAGAGGATCACAATGGAAAAATAGGGAAGTTACGAGTTACTAAATGTATCCCTCAGAGATTACAGCAGGATGAAGAAGAACAATTGAAAACATTGTTTATGAAACCCTTCAGATGCGCACCTTGTATACGTGTGGTAAATATTGCTTCAACACTGGAAAATATGGAATATTTATATAGAAAATATCCAAAAACAATAGAAACAGTTTTACATTTATATTTTTAGAATTTTTTGTATGAAACCATTTATCTACCCACGAGCTAGTAATCTAGACCCTCCCTAACCCCTTTGGCACAATAATCATCGTAATATTAATCATTATTATATTGTTGAATTACAAGACATTTGAATAGGAATGGTCACTCACATATTAAGAGTAGTAACACAGTTTCTGTAGTCGTAACACACATTGGTACTGTATGATGTCATCACATAGTTCAAAAACATCTCTTTTTTCATTTTTTTTTTTCACCTTTGTTGATATGTAAATAGATTTACTTTCATCTGAAACAAAACAGAACTGTCTTTGCATGCCCTTATTATTTACAGAATCCCTTTTTCTGAGTTTGTTCTTGCTGGCTACTGTTAAGCAGAAATACTACACTCACAAGAGAAATGAGACCATGAACTGCATCTGCATCGTACAGCAGACGGACGAGAGAACACAGGCAACATGTTGGACAACTCATTTTGTTGTGATACAAACAGTTCAATCATTTTAAATGAGTCGGATATACTTTCGGGCAGATTGTATAAAATGTTGAAAAATGTTTGTGTCGTGTATCACAACCTTCTGACCCTTCGTTTTTTTTTTTCCGGAGGAGCTGTCACGAAGCCAAGGCCCCATTTCTCAAAAGCATCTTAGTGAATGCATCCATCGGCACATTTGATATCCCAGGACTACTCTGGGTACTCAGAAATTCTGTTGGCACATGTACTGTAAGAACGATATATTCCGTTGAAAGGCATATGTTTAAACACAAATCTTAAATAGCCAAACTAGACATTTAAGGTTTTGCAATCTTTCCAAGTTTGGTTCTGTTTATCCATCGACAGACATTTTTAGAAAAACATCTCAAATTGATTGAAAGTGTAAGTACCACTTGGATTTTGTCACTAGCAACATTTTACCAAATTAGTTAGTTTGACTTTGGAGACATTCTCATGAGGCCTTACTTTAAAGTAACAGATTGACATTTTTAATTTCTCTTTTTTCTGAGCGAGGAGAAAATCGATACAGCTCTCAAGTACGTCCATTCAATATGAGCCTCTTTCGTTGTTCTGCACCTATTTGTCTGACGGAGAAAACTAAAAAAGTATTTTCGGATGTGCAAGAGATGACCCTTGTAGAAGGTCTCCCAGCTTGAGTCTATCAAACTGTGGCCGCTAACACACGAGATGTTAGCAATTCCAGTTAGTCTCATTCAAAGCACCGTCTTCATTTAACAATGACCATTATGTCCTGCTGACAGATCGTTTAGAGAAAATGTCACGACTGGGATCCAAATGATAAATGTTCCCTTGTCAAATGTCATACACTAACTATAAACTACAAAGTCATATTTGGTAATAATCCAAGAGTTTATGACTAAGATGTTTATGTTCAAACAAGGCCTGGTCCTGTCAATCCCTCCTCTCGCTCGTTCTCGAGTCACAGACAGGGAGGTACAAAAGGTTTGGTCCCAACTGCTCCAGGAATCATTTAGAAAATATACATTCAAAACTTCTGAGGAAAACAAACTGGAAGAGTAGAAAATACTAAATGACTGGCGGGACAAAAGAAAGCAGCAGGAGAACGAGGAGAGGAGAAAAAAGCAATGTAAGGGGAACAGATTGGAGAGCTGGATGAATACAAAAAAAGCTCTGTTCTTCAGAGTAACATACAGTCTGGTATGTTAACACATTGCACTTCTGTCAGAAACGTGTAAGATTTTCTTTACCAAGAAAAATCCATATCTTCTCGTATATTTACAGTTTTTTTCCCTTAAATTGTATGCGTATATGTTGGCTCACGCCTATGTGTTTATGTTTACGTGTGTGTCAGCAAATAGCCTTTGTTTTGTCCGTACATGCTTTAGGAGTTTAATCTCACCATTAAACATACTCATGCACACATAGCACACTCACACACACACACAGACACACACTCCTCTCTAATTAGTTGATAGCCATAGAACCTTAAGGCCACTACCCAAACCTAACATATATGTAGCTCTAAACCATAGACTGTGCACAACAAGTGGATGTAGCTTTTTGGGTCTGAAAGGTGAAGCCAATGCAAAGGAGCCTAGAACCTTCTCAATTTCTAATATACAGCAGGGGTCAAAGTCCTCGAAATAATAAATCATTGCAATTCTATAGAAGTCTTTTAGAATATGACCTTAATCCTAATGATCTTAGTCGCTAATTTGAGGTCTTTCTCATTAAGGTACGATATTCAGTTTCTAAATGATGGTCCCATTTTGAGTAAAGTAGACGATAAAGTAAGGCATGCTTTAGGGCGACCTGTGGATCAGGGTAGAGACATAACAATGCGTTACCCTTTTGTCCAAAATTCTCACCTTTTACTCCAAAAAACACAAGATGATGACGGCCAAGATGCAGTACTCAAGGCTTCCACACGTTAGTCCACAAACCAAGTTTACCACTTCTTATATACAATCTATGCTCTAGAACTTCAAGAATGATTTTTGACTTTACAGACACTAAAACATCTCAAAGTCACTGTGGCCCTTTTTTTTTTGCAACTCTTCACGCCCCGCTTTTGATAAACTGCACTAAGAAAATACGACGTGGGCAAGCTTCTCATACTTGCATCTCAATGCAAACATGTAAACACAAACACTGCCGCAGCTTGGTGTCCTCATCAACCAGCTGTTCACGAATCCTTTACCACGACCCCTTTACTTCTAGTTTCACGTAAGGACGGATGGATTTCAGTGTTTCCATCCTCCAATACTCTTCACTCATATCAACCGTGTCGTTTTTTTGAGCACTCCTCTTCAAATCTGCGTTTTCTTCACATGAAAACTCTGCCTCACAGTGAGGATGAACTCTGGCTGTAGTTTCTGAGTGTCAGTCTACTGTACCTGGGCGAAGGGGGGGAGGGGGCTGGGGGGAGACACAGGCCTGTCTCTGAGATGAGCGAGCCACTGCTAGATCCCAGGGAATCGCGGAAAGGGGACGGCGGAGTCAAAGCAAAAAGCTCCTCTTCCAACTCGGCCCTCCTCAGAGGGGAGTGGGTGAGGCAGGGGATGAGGCCTCCTCGCATGGGGGAGAGAGAGGGGGAGGCCTGGCCAATGTGAGGCGGCAGGGGGTAAGATGAGTGAGGAATGGAGTGAACAGGACATCCGCTCCGGCCCGCCATGCTGGTCTCGACGGGGGGGAGGGGCTGGACGTCAGCATGGGTGGTGAGGGTCGGGGCCATCGGGATCTCCCGGGGCAACAGATAGGGGTCGGCTGGTGGAGGAGAGGGGGGGGGCTGCTTGTTGGAGTGCGAGTGCGTCGGAGAAGAGCACAACATCATGCTGTTGAGCTCCGTGATGTTGGCGGTGAAGCGGTTCACCACGCAGCTGATCTGATCCATCAGGGAGCTGGGATGCGGTGCCGGGTAATTGTCCAGAACAATCAGACGCCCGTCACTCCCCACCACCAGAGAGCCGCTGCTGGTAGGACCGCAACTGCTGCCCCCCCCGCTGCTCACGCTCCCCCCGCTGCAGATGCTGCTCGGGTAGTTAGGAACGCCAGTCATCGAGTGATCGTCCCCGACTCCGGCCCCTAGTCTCTGGCTGATGGTGCTGATGGGCGAGGGCGTCTGCGGCAGGTACGTGTTCGAGTAGCGCTCCTCCACCTCAGAGAGCTCGTACAGGGTCTTGTCGGTGACAGAGTCCTGATGAATGGACAGGGAAGACATGGAGGGGAGGGAGGGCAGAGGCATGTGTGGGGGCAGGTCACCCCCACCAAAGTAACGCTCCTCAGAGGTTTTGGAGAAGGGCTTGATGACGGCCGTCTGGTTGTTCTCCTTCTTCTTGATGTGGAAGGACAGCCGTTGCCACAGGTGGTTTCCGCGGTTACTGCTGCGCTCCGTCTGCGCCCAAGACACTGATTTACCGTTGGAGCTGGAGGGCAGCAGGGGAAAGAGAGAAAGAAAGAGGGGCTGTTTCTAGAGCTTCAAGGTAGATTTACGGTAGTCAGTTAATTAGCAGCTTATTGATTGTTTTGATGTTAATGTAATAAATGTAATTGGTTTTTGATTAAACGAACTTCATTTCCGATTATTGATGATATAAATAAGAAGGTGCACTCACTTCTATCTTATTCAGTTTGGATACATAAAAAAGTACATTTTGGATTTGCATGTCTGTGTTTTACAATTGACAACAGGTGATCACTGAACATTGTCTTCGTTTAAAAGCTCTACCTTTTGTCTTGCAAATGAGATTAACATACTGAGACAACATCATTGACTGTACACTTTCTTCAGAATAGATATGGTAGCTTTTTTAAATACTCTGCTCATATTTGTTTAAGAATCACATTGTTCATTATAATTGCTTGTTTATATGGATAACAAATCTAAAATAATACCTTTTAGTAGTAACCTGTTAGTTTGCGTCACTTATTCAAAAACTACAACAGCTAAAATAAACATAAAGCATTAACTGTGCCTGCTTTACATTAGTTCTTATTTATTATCCCACATGAGTAGTTTCATTTAATAGATACAAACATATTTAAATGAAGCCCTGACTCATCACAGAAAATCAGTTGGACTTCATTTGCATGTCATTTCATTGCAATTAATTTTCCCATTCAATTTTTTCCTGACAGTATGTTCTTCATTTGTCTTTGTCAGCTTCCCTCTTCCTGTCTCTGTTCTACCTACATCTTACCATTTTCTCCACTTCACATCAGTCACAGCACTCTCCCCTGCCTCCCCCCACTTTCCTTTCTCTCATCCCTTTGTCAGGTTAATTAGTGTGATTAATCTTTAGTGGAACTTCTGATTAAACCTCACACCACCGTGGCTGGTGTTGAAAAGAGCCTAAGTCACCCTGGGGAGACACACACATAGATAGACTCTGTATCACGCACACACACGCACATCCATATGCTGCACATGCCGACCTGCGCCTACACATACATCGTGCTGTGATATACTCGCTAAAAGACTCTCGGACAGAACGCTTTGGAGCCAAGCCAAAGCCTGACATGCCACCAACAGAAACACATGTTGCACATACTAAAGGAGCGCCTGATTGATCCTATCTTACATATATTGCAGCCATTTGAATGCCTGTTGAAAGTAAACCATGCACTCTTCAACAGTTCAAACATTTGGATGAGTCATCAGTCGAATATTTCATCTTCTTATATTTTTTTGAAGTACTTCTTCCATTTCCCCCCTGTTTCGCTGGTTTCATGTCTGTCTGCATCTGTTCAGACTACACAATGACAGCATCTCAAAGGCAACAGCTTCCAGCCCTGCACCGAGGAGAGAGACAGCCCTGCCAATTACCACCACCCACAGGGGAAGATAGGACCGTGGAAGAGAGGAATAAAAAGGAACCAGGATGGAAGAACTCCTGACATTTCTCATAACAGCGTGATTGAAATCTTGCTTGCCAAGCGGGGTGAACTCAAGTAACACGCTGACAAACGAAAATGTGTTCTTGTCTTTTTTCTCCCTTTTCATCCTGGGCAAGTGGCTGTGCGTCACTCCTTTTGTGTCCATTGATCGGTTCCCTGTCGCTGTAGATGGCTTGCGGATGGCCTTCAGCTGGGTGTATGTTATTATGTCCCGCATTTTAGCCGTATTCCTTGAGCCATTTCTTCTTCTTGTCTGATTATACCATCAATTCTGATTTTTATTTTCTCTCCCCATCCTCACAATTTTCTCCTCACCCTCCCTTCCTTAGCACACCTTGCTTTGCCATGTCTCTATTAGGCAATTGTCTACAGTTCATGTAAGGGTCACAGGAACAGTCAAGCAGACTCTGGGGAGTTCAGAGAATCAATCTCCCAGACACACACACTAACACACGCACTATAAGTAGTCTGAAGAGTGGGGCTATTACAGAAATGGTACCTTGGACTGTAACTACGCAGTAACCTGGCATTAACCTGCCGAATGAGGCCCTTGTGTACACAAAATCACTACCACACAAAAACAAAGACACACACACAGACACACACACACAGACGTACCTGAGATTCTCTGCAGTAGAGCCCTTACGTTTCCACAGATTAACCATACTCGAAGAACGGCTGGCGGCTGAGGAAGATTTGCCGTCGCCCACGTGCATGCGCACCACTGTGCTCGTGGTAAAGGCACTGCGCACGTTACGCTCTGGTTTGGCTAGAATGATGTACACCTGTTGTGAAATAAAACATTATTTCATTATCCTTATAAAGCAAAATGTTTCTAAAAAGAGAACACTGAATTCAATAATGTAAAGAAAGAGCAAATACCAACATCAAGCCATCTGTTTTTGGTTGTAATTTGTTTGTTTGAGAGTCAAGTCATGAACTCCGTGATGGCTTACCTTGTTTATGTACAGCTCTTATAAAAAGACAATCCTCAAAAGAAGCTGCAGCTAATTGTTCATAATGATTGTTATTCTGCTGTTGTTTTAGCACCAACGTTGCCCTTGAAGCATCAAGAGGATTACCCGCTACTACTGGAGTAGTTTGGATAAACATAATATTATTCTAGATCAGGGGTGGGGAACCTTTTTCCTCTCAAGGGCCATTTCAATTTTTTCAACATCCTCAGAGGGCCGTACAAATTATTGACCTCTGCTTAAAAATACTAAAATCACAGCCAATTCATTTGGCCTTTCTTTCATGCTGTGCAAAGAAAAAACAACCTCTTAATCCAGATATTTTACCAATGCATGACTCGCGTATTCACGTGCACGGTTGTGGCATGACCACCAAAACAGAAAGATATGGACACAAGATGTGTGCAAATGTATTTAGTTTCCTATCCATGTGGACATGATTTAAGTGGTGGGGGACCTAACCTCCGCGGGGCATGCTCCCCCGGGAAGATTTTGTTTTTTAATGTTGAAGTTAAAAGCATCAATCTGGTGCACTTTGAGAGCAACATCAGGAGATCTATGGATACCTCTCTCAACACCCATATGAAACAGAACTGTAAGCAGATAAAAAAATTTATATGGATATTTTACAAATCGCTCCTTTTTCAAACTGTATTCTTGTTTATTAATAACGACTTTTTTTACTGTCATATAGTATTTTATACCTGTTTACTTTATTCTCTTATTTTTTTATAACTATAATGATCATATAAAGACGTGCCTTTACCTCACTGGTTGGAGAAAAAGCTTCTTATATTCGTTTGCATAGCTAGCTAACCAGATGCTAATAACAACAAAGTTATTGATCAGTATGACAGATGAACAGATCGCCACTGGGCTTTCAACTAAAGACACAGACACGCAAAAACTGCGGCATGTGTACAGCTCCTTATAGGTACTGCAATTAATGAATTGCCGGATCTGGTGCTCTCTGTCAGAACTGCACCCCTATCAAACGAGACATAATACCACGTGATGACACGTTAGGCTCCTGTTGTGTTCAAGGACCCTGAACTTGGCTAGGAAAAACAGGCACTCTCTTGTTTAATTTTTTTGCGTGTTCTTATAAATTATCTCGAGGGCCGTACCAAATTGTCTCGCGGGCCGTATACGGCCCGGAGGCCGGAGGTTCCCCACCACTGTTCTAGATGAACCCCTTTCACTTCAGTGCGGTTGGTGAAAATATCATTTAAAGTTTCTTACTCAATTATTTAAAAACTGATATTGAACAGTCATTTTCAATAACTTGGTGTGTACTGTGAGTGTTGCCCGTACATTCCCCCTCTAAGGACAGAGTGTACTGTGTGCACATTATGAAAACTTTCAGCAGGATGAATCTCAAATTCAATGTGTCCAGTTAAAACATTTGTTATTTCTTGGCTATAGTTACTATAAATACCATCATTAAATATACATTGTGTACTGATGTAGAATAATAACCAGTGTGTTTAAAGTTTGGACAGCTAACGGTGAGACAAACTGTATGTTCTGAGGCTTAGTTTAGGAAGACTGATGAAATACATAGATTTATATCAGTAAATGAGTGTACGGTATATACAGTATATATATGTAGAAACTGTGTTTTTTAGCTATAGCCTTACCTTGGGTACGAACATGCAGCACAGCGCCACGGTGGCACTGAGGCTGACACTGAAGCACATGGTGATAATTTTGTAGTTAGAGCCAAAGTAGATGGGTACGAAGGCCAGCCATATAATACAGGTGGTGTACATGGTAAAGGCTATGTACTTAGCCTCGTTGAAATTAGCTGGGACGTTGCGGGTCTGGGAGAGAGGGACAGAGTCAGAGAGAAAGTTTCATTTTTAAACATTGTTGAATCATTTGGGTATTATGCCTTCAATAAGGGAAACATGAAACCAAAAAAGACACTGTTAGGGTTGATTAAAGGCCTTTGCATTATAAGAAAACACACTGCTAACCAGGTACCTTTGCTAACAAAAATAAATCTGCACCAACTATACCACTTTTTTTTTCTCTCCGTGGCTGTGTTCATAAACACGGTTAAACATTGACATCATAAAGTGTTCAATTTACTGCTGTTGAAAGTGGTAGAGTGCCAAACACAAACAACGGTTCAATTATTGCTTCCACAATCTGTCTGCACGACTTCTCTCATGTGAAGCAGCTTGAGGTAGTATGCAGGTTTCTACAAATAATAACATTTGCTTCAAACAACATTTTAAAACATGCTTTCTGACACTTTTGGAACTTTCAATTTAGATTAAATTACTTAAGTGTTAAAAACACTTCAGCAGGTACCTTGAAGGCATAGAAGGTGCAGCTGAGGATGAGCAGGCCATTGTATCCCAGCGGGGCAACCACGCCCAGGTTATTGGTGTTACAAATGAGGTTAACCTGGCGGATGCTGGGGTGGTCATGGATCACCTATTAGATATTAGAGGGGGGAAACAAGGCGGTGATTAAAGGCTTAACCAAGCTTTTACTACAATCACCATTTATGTTTTTACCACAAAACAGTTTGCAAATGTGTGTAAACATCTGCATTAAAATAAATGGTGGAAGAAATTAGCAAACTAACATTTCCATTTATTACACTGCCAACTTGAGATGTTCTACATTTTAAGTGTGAGCAGGAAAATAATTACAGAATTGCAGGATTGTTTGATTGCTTTAGATAAGAACAACACTATTATCTGGGATTCTCACATACCTGTTGATTTGCTAACTTAACTACTCATGTAACAGCCTCTAACAAAATAGTGATGAAATGGAAAGAAACTCGTGGAGAATTAAGGCCTCATTATGAGGAAACTTCTTAAAGTAATATTGGATCTACTTTATGTTTCCATCACTCTCATTTGTCTGTAAACCTGTTTTGATGACTTTCAACAAGGCACTCTTGTACTTATAATAAAGAAACAGACAGTGGCACACAGACAGCTCACCTCTGGTGGCTCCATGAGGAAGAGAGCCACGATGATGCCCAGCTGCAACAGTATGAGGAGGAAGGCAATGATGAGCTGAGCGCAGGCGGACATGAAGCGAGGTTTCTTTGTACAGATCTTCTTCTTGCTGCCTGCCAGAATCCGAGCAATGCGATTTGTCTAGGGTCAGAATGCAAACACCATTAGAACCCTTTGATGAAATATGCAATGAACACACTGTATCCTTGTTAGGGCAAACAGCTCTCTGTATTCTTACACTGCTGCCATTGACCTTGTGTAGACACACAGGTGAGAAACATTATAAATATTGCACACAGGAGTCAAAATCTGAAGCATACACTCAAGGTAAGCTCTTATTGGAATGCCATTGAAGTCACCTGCTATTTTTTTAATCCTAACTCCCTGTTCCCAAAACCCTTTCTCCGTAAACCCCTCAGGACAGGGGCAGAATGAACCTGTGCCCTGCATCTGATTTAATGCAGCACATCAACCCCACCATCAAAGGAATGACAATCTGTCGTATCAGGGGACTATGGCCCCTATTTCTCTCTGATTAGGTCCACCGTCTCTAACATGTCAAGCTGTTACCCATTGAAGATTGATGACAGAAGCATGTTATCATCATCCAATTTACTTTATACTAACCAGGTGTATGGCTGGGGACCCAAGGACGTGCTGTGTTGAATTTGGAGCAATTTGTCATCATCATGATCATCAACAGCAGCCCTTTCACAAGGCCACTCATTGACTGCTGTTCGCTTTTGCTGTTTCATTCTGGATATACTAACATTACAACCAAACACCTCCCTGGACTCAAAAAGCAACGAGCGGTTCTCAACAATGCTGCAAACAGCACTTCAGGCGGCCAAGCTGTCATCTTGTTCAGAATTGCCATCTCACTAGTGAATCTAATGACAGGGGTACTCCAAGACCTTAGAGGTAATTCCTTTAGCCCTTCACCCTACATCTTGTACTCATTTCACAAATTCTTAAATCAATCTTTGGAGTACCTTGGTGACGAGTGCAGAGTAGCTCATGGCAGGTGACAGGCCTATTCCCAGCCGTTGGAGGTAGCAGTGGACTACATGGGGTTTGGTAATGAGGCTGAAGGTACACAGGTACCCCATGCAGATCCCTGCCAGTATGATGTAGCACAGCTCCCGACTGGAAGATTTCACTACTGGGGTGTCCCGGAACCTGAACACATTCAGAAAAACAAATACGTGCAGAAACGTCAGTCAGGAGATGCAGAAAAACACTATTTATACAAATCATTTTAAACACAGCAAAACAACACAGCAAGAAAATGGTAAGACAAGAACGTGCAAAACTGTAACAGTGAAAAAATCACTAGAGATATTTAGGGATAGGTTTTTCTCTCAGTATGCTCAACACAATTATCATACATTATATGCAGCAGAGAGGATTCATATTACCTCAAGCAAAAACTAATATGATACAGAAAACGGCCACGTACAGAGCCATGGTCAGTGGGAATTCAATGCCGGTGCATATTACTCAAGGGAATACTATAGATCGGGTCAAACTTTCGTAAAAACAATATCTTGATTTCAGAAATTATAATTGAACTGTATGTGTTTATGTTGAAATTATTATATTGTTTTGTGTTTGTGGCTTGATGACGATCAAAAGGGTGATCATTTTTGTTTTCACTTGACTGTACTTGACTGTTATTTACATGAGTTTTGTTTGTTTAGGTGTTTATATGGATTGCGTGTCACTGTGTGTTTTACTGTGTGTGTGTGGACCCCATGAAGAAAAAAGACAAGACAAAGTGCAAAGAGTGAATGTAAAGTGTGTATTTGTGTTGAGTATAGCACTGTTTGCATTGTTCCACTCACTTCATATTTTCTATGAGAGATGACGGATGTATTACCTGATGAAGACTGCAGTGACAAAGAATGTGAACATGAGCCCGAGGCAGGCGAAGACCACAGCAGCTATCGGTTCAGGGTCTCCCCACCGCAGGTACTCCACTGGGATGGGGTCACAGCCTGGGGATAGAAGAACGGGGGAGATGCAGTTAACACAAAATTCATTAAAGACTTTTTTTGATTTTATTTAATCGTTTATTTGAAGAGGGACAATGCACATTGGTGAACATTTAAAACAAATAATGCTTTAAAACGTAAACATGCCGGATTTTAGCTGTGAGCTCATTTCCATCCGTAGTCCCTCACATACAACATTTAAGAACATGACATTTATATACATAGCAAAAATAAATACATGATATATATAGAAATTGTAATATATAGAATTTTGTATTCATTGGGATAAACCCCTTGAGATGCACCATCTTGTTTTCAAGGGGGTCCCGACAATGGCAACAACGTACAGACATACATAAACAAAAAGACAAAATGCAAAACATGACACACAAGACAATATGCAGAAAGAGCATGAGCTCTTTCATTGCAATTATTATCATTACATTATTATTTCATTTCATACAAGCTTTAACCACATGGCAGTACAAAGTAGCAGCTGATGTTGGTAAAGCCCAGCCAGCAGATCTTGATCTTTAGGTAAGATTGCCATTATTTCATAACTCTTAATTCGTTTAACTTACATTTTCCTTTTATATATATTTAGTTGTTATTATTTTGGAAGGAATCCGCTATTGGAACACACATATATTATTCAGCATAATGTTGATCATAATAAACTTTTGCTCTCTGATTGAAGGTTTCACTTTTAACCCTTACCCTACTTCACATCATCATTTGACCTTACAACACACCTCAGTTGTCCACACTTTCTTTCTTATCCCTCACTCTGTGTCTATTTCTCCCTTCTTCTCATTCAATCATTGTCTCAGTTTCCTGTCTTTTTTTGTAATGGCTTATCCATCATTCTGTCCCTCTCTTTCCTCCACCCATTATCTCCCTTATCTCCCTTGATCCTCATCCCTCTCTTCTTCCTCCCTAATTCTCTCCCTCCCTTCATCTATGCCTCCCTCCTAGGCAAGGAGATAAAAGCGTCATTAATTATAGGGACAGTTCTAATTATGAACCATCTTAATTCTTGCCCAAATGATCTGGCTGGTTGGTCTAGACATTATGTAGCAGCAGAGACGCACGTAGACTTTCTCTCAATCTTCTGTCCATGTACATCTTCAATTGTTTCCTCTCCGCCTTACTGTCTCTCTTTGTCCCTCTCACAGACAAATACACATGCAGGCATGTACACACACCTGTTTGTACAATACTGCACATCTCAGAGAGTTAAAGAGGCACTACACAAGACTTAAGTAATTTAATGAGATTGTTTTTAACACAGTCAATAACGTTTATCAAATCAGTGAAGTGGTTAGGTCTTGGGACATAAACAACAGCCCTAATGGCTAGGGAGCCAAGGGGATGGAAACAAACAGACAGAAACTAATTCAACCACCCTGCAGAGGATGTGGCTCACTTGCAGGCTTTTTAAGACCGGATGAAATCTATGTCATCTAAAACAGTGTGTGTGCAAAACAGAATAATCCATACTACGATTTCCATCTGTGACAGCGCAGTTGGTATTGTATTTACTTTTTTGAGTCTGTGTGTGTCATCATTGCGATTAAATAGTTTGATAACAGATATTTTATTTGTTGTTATTTATTCTTTTTTTGGTCAGATTTTGGTCACAAACGTGAAAAATGCAGTCATAAATCTTGACAGTCTAAAATTGAAAAATCAAGACAAAGTAATGAAGGAAGTAGGGGTGTAAAAGGGGCATTGTGGCTGAAGTGATCCCATTGCAATATTGTATCAAATAAAGACATACAGAACATAAACCATACGTAATCACAAGAAAATCACAGGTCTGATTCCCTTTTTATTTAAGGAATTACTTGTATGTAAATGCTACTGTTCAACATTATGTTTAAGTGCTTTGTTACTACTTTAATATAAACCATATTTAAGAGAGAAGGGCTACACTCTGTCCTGCCTAACAATGAGCTGTGAGGACCACCCATCCGTGAAAATGTAAAGGAGGAAACTTGCTGAGAATTTAGCTCCGATTAATCTGGCCCACATAAATCTTGATGTTAGGGCCGAACATCCCAGAACAGTGTTTTCCTCAAGGGTTTTCTCAGAGCAGTCGAAAAGCATCGGCTAGTGGATTTTAATACTTAATTAGTTCACGAACCTTCTGTTGTGTTTGACCCTAAGCCAAACTGTTTGGAGGGTTCAGTCAATAAAAAGTTTTGAGGCAAACTCCTCTCAGACTCAAACTGTGGAACTTTACCGATCAGTGAAGAGGCTCAAATCCCAAAGCTAATCCTCCTTTTTCTGCTCCTTTCAAACTCCCTGGCTGCTGCTTCTGTCAGAGCCTCCATTAATCTCCATCTCTCTTTTAGATTCACTTTGTTCTTCTCTTTATGTTCCTAAGTCACTTTTCCCTCCCTCTTTTTTTCTTGTGTTTGCTCTATTGCTGTCGCCAAAACTCTCCATTGCTTTCTATGGTTTTCACAAACACTGCACATCTGTCCCTTCCAGCTGAGCTCTCTCTCTCTCTCCTCTGTTCTGTCTCTCTCTCGTTCCTTTGGCCTGAGGGAGAGAGATCAAAATGTATGCTGGAGGAACAGGGCAAGCAGTTTGTTTACACCTCATTATTACTGTTCCATACTGTATAGCCCCACTGGGGGACAAGCAGCACTTATTGTTAATGAAATGAGTCGCGCACACACAACGTAATAAACTGTTAACCCCAATCACTCATTTCTTTATCTCCGTTCTTTTTTCACTGTCAATTTTCTCACCGGTTGGCTCTCTGTTTTAGTTTAAGGATGCTTCTCTTTCTGGCAGTGAAGCTCAATCTGAATTTTCAGCAGGGCTCGATTCATGTTTTAACCATGGGGCATGGTGATCAGATAGCAAGCGGTATAATGAGAAGCTGAAAGCAAGGCAATATTCAAACGCTTCGTACGCAATGGAGGGGACATTTATTTTCATGGCAACTGAAGAGCATGTGCAGTGAAAGCTGCTCTTGATGAAGAATAACTAAAACATTCGACCACGTTGGTAACAAATGAAAGGGATGAGGAAGAGGGACTAGAGGGGAAGGAATGAGAGAGGAAAGAGCTTTTGTAACTGGTGCAGAACTTACTGTACAATATGCAGTGATAAGGGAAAGCACCACTTTATCATCTAATTCTACTTGGCATCTTTTGTTCTCTGACCCTATACACACACACATGCAAATAATGTAGCTTCATGTGCTCATTGCACCATTTCAATTCAAGTATTCTCTTTGCCAAGTAAATATTTCTCTGAGTTAGCACTTGGATGTTATGAATAAATATGCAGAAACACATAGAGACTGACCTGTGAGGTCAAAGGTCGGCCAGGAGCCCAGTTCACAGGCTCGGCAGGTGTACTCGTCGAACACAAACTCATTTTCTTTACAGGGAGTGCACGTCCAGCAGCAGCTCACCTCCCCTTTACGGATCACCTGGAGGGGACAGATGCAAAATGTCTTCAGTACCTTTGTACACGCTGGGAACCCTCGTGCACCAGCCACTGTGTTACATGGAGTCTTTTATTATTCATTATGACAATTTCATTTAATGTCATTTTAATTCATTTGAAATAGGTAGTAAAATATGTGTAATCTATTCCAACAAAGACAATTTATTGTGTGTGGTCAAGCTCCAAGGCAGAGTGCTGGACTCACAGCATTGCCTGCAGTTACCTTAGCAAAGTTCTTACCTTTATCTGTGCTTTGTCACAGGGTTCACTGCAGACTGACTTGATGATGCCTTCCTTGTTGGGCCAGATTTCATCATCATCTATCTTCAAGCCTCTGTTGTCCCAACTGCCAACATTAATATAGTCATAGTAGTCCTTCCCCATCTTCTTGAAGTTCATTATTTCGTACCTGTGGATGGAAAGTTTCACATACAGGTTTCATTCAACACATTAAAACCCACATGTCGTGTCATACCCAGCAAGCCAAAAGACCAGACACAAAATAAATCGATGGGATTAACCGCATACCTGCCAGGTGAGTCTCCATTCTTATCAAATAAGATTCCCTCTCCTGACACTCCGGTGAAGTTGGTTTTCATCAAGAAGTCTAGCAGCATAGAACCATCTATAGGTCGCATGGCATCACACAGGCCCTTAAAATACATAAGCAATCGTGTCATATCCAAAAAAAATGACCCACAGCTTAACAAATGGAATAGATGGATTTGTGTGTGCACAGAAGTAATGTTGATCAATGGACATTCCTGTTGATTTAATTGACATTTTAAGAACTGAATGGAAAAGCATATTAACACTAAAATATTACTCAAAACATGATTATTGGCCAGTTGGATTAACACATTAACATAATGATACATTTGAGTCAATACAAAGACTTGCATAGAAGGTGAATCCTCCCATGGAGTGTTATGAACATTGAAAAGTATAGAGGAGCAGGGTTTCTTCCATGACTGTCACATTCAGGCTAATAAGTGCCAAGCTGGATTATGTCATTTAGTCAAAACTTAGTCTGAAACATTTCAATAACCATGTCTGCAAGGGGAAAATCTCAAGTAGTTCCCAGAAAGGTTGGTCTATTATGGCCGAATTCAAGGATAAGCAGCACTGATGTATTTTTTCTTTGTTAGCTAAAATTGTCTAAAATGTTAGCTGTATCTAAAAATACAGAATAGTTTATGTGATCATCCAGGTTCCCATCTTACATTTTTTAAGTTGTGTGTACATGTATGGAGTCTGACAATTGGTCAAAAATGTCTGATGTGTGTAATAATGCAGCAACACCCAGCTAGTTCCTTTCTCTCCCCCCACCATTGTCCATTTCACCCCTTCCTCTCCCTTCTTTGTTTCCTTGTTTTGTCGTAGTCTGTCCCCCCACTCATCCATCAGAGCAGTACCTACCTGATAGCCTGGGCAGAGTGCCCGTTGCATGTTATGCAGGCCATATGCCATCGAGTAGATGGCATTTATGACAAACCCCATCTTGGTGTCCTGTGCATACTGCTGCCGAAGCGACTCTCGCTCTGCAACAAAATGGGAGGGGAGAGGGGAGGTTGGTGGGTGAGGAAGGATGGATAAAAGAGGCAGGTATATCAGAGAAACCCTTAATTTCCCTTCTAGTTAAATGAAAATCAGTGTGCTTTTTTTCCCCTCCTGACATCAAAGACCACTCTCATTCCTTTCTCATCGGACACCTCCCACCTCCTCATCTCATTTCTGTCTGCCTCTTTCTGTGTCCTGTTCATTTGTATTTCACGTCCCGTTTCATTAGAATACATGAGACATGACTTCCTTTGATTCAGCTCTCACACGCAGTTTTGCCTATGAATGGAGGGATTGAAAGGGAGAGAGAAAGATGGGGGGGTGACGAATACAAAGACATAAAGAGAGGGTGCACTCAGCCTCAAGGGATATCTCCAGATAAACCTGAAAGCTGTGTTCAACCATAAGGTGCGTGTGCGTTCAGCAGGTCTGTTCTAATGTTTTTTGCATTAATAGTAGCCATTATGAAAGCCTATAAAAATGCAGATTGTTAATGTAGCCTGTTATGTTGATGCAGCCTCTCTCCCTCTGTATCACTGTGGTCAACAGAAGTACAGTACAGCTGTAACTCAGAAACCCTTTGTCCACTGTCCTCGTTTGTGTTTTGCGTCTGTACTCACTGCCACAGGTGCGGTTGAATTTGTTGTTCTCCTGCGGGTGACCTTTAAGTCGACAGTGGAAACGATGCTGCCAGAACTCTGGAAACCAGGGGTTTCTGGGGTTGTTTTCTGGACGAAGTTTAAGGTAGTAATCATCAAACCATTTCACATCAGCCGACTGGAGCTTGATGGTAATGCCACCTGCTGCTTCCCTAACAAAACCATCTGTTACATCATACCGGTCGGCCCATCCATCACTGCAAGAAACACAAGGAGAGACAAAGCAGAAACGTTAACTCCATCGATTTAACGTGAAAGAAAAAAAAAACCCTGCTCAAATCAACATTTGCATAATTTCCCCGAATATGTATTGAAATCATTTGATCATACCAAAGTATTTATAGTTATGCTGCACAAGACATTTAGAGAACTCATTCGGGCATTTGATGCTTTTCAGACGTCATTCCATCAAGATGGAGGTGGAAATAGGTGGGAATTGTCTTTGTGATTTTTTCAGTCTATTGTAACTGAAGGTTGAATAATGAGGGTGACTCAATGGAAGTTTTTACTGCTCGGTAAAATCCTGCCAGAAGCAAACGCTTACACCTTATCTGATCTCCATTAATGCTTTCAGAGTCCCTGTTTGTTTGAGAGAGCCTCTATTATAAAAAGGAAGCCTCTGGCAGGTGTTTTGTCTGGGGAGTTTTCATAGTGCCAGCACCTATAGGATTTAACTAGTGGTTGAATTAAGAAAACTGATTAGCCGCTTCTATAGTACTTGAAAATTATAATGTAGTAGTGAAGATGAGTGGGTTTGCCTCTTGAGCCCATTACTGAAATGTCTCTTAAGAGCTGGACTTAGAGTACACAACTATGTAGGTGTGTGAGAGAGAGAGAGAGAGAGAGAGAGAGAGAGGGAGGGTGTGTGTGTGTGTGTGTGTGTGTGTGTGTGTGTGTGTGTGTGTGTGTGTGTGTGTGTGTGTGTGTGTGTGTGTGTGTGTGTGTGTGTGTGAACAGCTTTCCATTTGTGTCTACCTTTTTATTTGTATTTATGTCGTTCTTCTCGTCACCCTCTGCCTCTAAGCAGTTGTCATAAATCATGGTGGAAGCATTTCTAGATGGCTATCCATTACAGGATAGATAACGCCTGTATGAAATGCGGGTGTGATGGTGTGGTGTCACATTTGTTAAGTGGTAGCGGATTGGGATTTTGCAGTGGTTCTGTCGACAAAGCTTGTTGCCACAGATACGTGAGAAAACGCTACTTTATTGGGCACAGACATGTTAAGAAATGAGTTCATTTATTTAGTTAAAAAAAGTATAAGTTATGCACTCTAAGTGGTCAAAATATAATTCTAAAAGGAAAAATGTTGTGAAATTCCTCTAATATGTTTTTTCATTATCTATTACTGTCTAATGTTACCTCTGTGAGCCTTTCAAAGTGACTGAATCACTTGTTGATTGGCTTGATGATAACTCCCACACATTTACAACCAGGACCCGTTGCGATGAGTCATAATTAGACATTAGGGATTTTTCATGTGAAGAGGACGCGAGCTAAGAAGATTTGGGGTTGGCCCTTTGGCTGTAGCATTAATAAGTATTTCAATAACAGTTTGTTGAATTTGGCTGTTTGAATTATTAGCACATCCAGGGTTTCCTATAATTACGTCAATGTGTCACAGAAGTCTTCAATGTTCAGACACATTGAAGGACCTCCAGTAAATGATCTGTTTATTGAGAAAATTGAAAGGCAGGCTCTATAAAGAATAACTTAGATTTTTTACTTTTCACCAGAGTCATGACCAGAGAGATTTAAATATGTTGGACTGGTAATAACTGGATAACAGAAAGCCATGAGATAAAGCCATCTTCATGAAAAATAAGTCTTGTAGATTAGAAAAAAAATCCATAGGGCTTGAAATAGTTCTGACTTGTTTTAAACTTTTAGCAATACCTATTGATGCTCAAACCATTGACCGTTGTTCAGGTCTGGTGTCATGCAGAGGACGCGTCCCATGCAGAGCGACAAAGTGCTATCACCACATGTCCTCATAATGGATCAATAAGTAGCTCCCCTGAGGGGAAAACAAACAGCATTTGATGTCTTTACTTGAGTAGGCTATTTGCTCCTGTGTTTAACAAAGTGTTGTATTGACGGAGACAAAGCGGGTGGAAGAGTGAGAAACACAGTAGTGAGAGAAAAATGAAGACATAAAAATCAAAGAGATTGATGAGTGAGGCAGTGAAAACCGATCCAAAATCAAACAATCATTGATCAGCACTTCCTGTGTTGATAGATTTCTTATTTTGTTTTCTCTCCACATCCGTCTCTTTCAACCTCTCATTAACACATTCATGTCTCCCTTGAGCCCCTTCGCTCTTTTTTATACATCCATTCCTCCAACTCTGACATTCCACTGCATCCATCAACCAATATATTTATTCTCATTTCTTACTGTTTGTTTTCATGTTTGTTCCTTTGTAGACATTCACAAATATATGATAATCCAAACACATGCACACTATGTTTATCTCTCTTGTGTTGCATTTATATTTTGTTGTTATGATTTTGGAGCATTTTACTTTCTTTTACCTATAATTATTTAGCTTTTCACCTGTTTGGCAATTTTCCCAGCAGATCACACATGAAACTCATCAAAAGCAGAACGACAAGTGTGACATGTGAGCAACAAACACACACAAAAACACCTGCAATAATCATCACCTGAAAGTCTAAATGTATTTCTAGAAAGTTGTCACTAATTCAAATGAGCAAATGTGACCTTACTGTCTGACCAAATGGCTTCACTCCCACTAAAAGATCCTGTCTGGTCAAATATAAGTATTTAATAAATCGTAAGCTCCCAGTACAAATCACGGACATGTCTGTTCTCTGTCTAACACAAATAGAAAATCAGATTTTTATCACTTCACAATCAGCACTGTAACTCCCACACATGATGGACCAACACAAATAAACATCCACTTTCTTTTGAAAACCACATCATTATTTTATAATTGAAACATGTTTATTGTTTGGTAACATGAAAATCAAAAACTGTTCTCATGATCTCAGATTAGTTTCCTAGGGCGTAATTAAAGTGAGATTTAAAAATGAGATGAACTCTGTTTTTATTGAATACTCATTGCTGAATGTCCTGGAATACGCTGGAAAAAAGCAGGGATCACTGATGTAGGAAAATGTTTCTATTTGAACACCATGAAAATGCTATGCAATGGTGTAGTGTTCTCACGTTTGGTGTCATTTGTCATAGTAGGCGGTGAGACACAGTAGGAGTTGAATGTTACCATCTTTCAAAAACTAAAATCTTGTTCTCGAGGCTGAACACAATGCTTTAGGTCTTTATTTCTGTAATTGTACCACAAAATTATTTTACCTCAAGTAAAGTGTTTCAAATTTACGGAAGAGGATTAGGGCCACATTAAAAAAAAAATGTGCTACGAAAAAATTCAGAATTCTGACTTTTTTTAATCAGAATTATGACTTTAATCTCAGAATTATGACTTTTTCCTCAGAACAAAAAAACATAATATTTTTTGGGAGAAAAAAGTCAGAATTCTGACTTTAATCTCAGAATTCTGACTTTTTTCTCAGAATTCTGACTTCAAAGTCAGATTTTTTTTTCTCCCAAAAATAATATTTTTTTTCAAATCCTCCCAAAAAAATAATCATGTGGCTCTAATCCTCTTCCGTACAAACTAAAGCCCTTTAGTATGAAATCCTAATGCTTTATCATGGAACACTTTATTTACAATTTGTTACGTTCCAGGCTCCTTCATTATCTATGTTGACTTTAAAGAAAAGAATATACTTTAACTTATTTTTTCCCATTTGTCAGTGTACTTATTTGTTTGAACCTATATGATTTTATTTATGTTTATCTAAGTCTACTTGTGCTGCTATTAGTTTACCTGCTGAAGGACAAATGAAGGATTTCTAATTGCTGAAGTATGGAAAAACATGGTGAGCAGTCTTTCAGCGAATCCCAAAACTATGATTTAAGTAGTTAACCTAAATGCAAATAACCTGCTCTTTAGAGGATATTAGTATCCTCTTAGGAGACTGGACTGTTCAATTCCAAAGCGTCAGTAAATCCTGGTGGGCAGATTTAAAAGGGATGAGAGGGGCTAATGTGATTGGCAGTGATTGACACAAGCCCAAAACGCAGTCACTGATAAAGTATGACAAATTAATTCCTCCCACCCGATTTTGAAGCCATGTTCCTCCAACCACAAAATTATCAAGTCCTCTGTATAACTAGAAAGTGCATCAAAGATACACACGGATGTTCACTGATCGACATTTATAGTATGCAAGTATGTAGGCGATGTTGCTGCTAGAAGATGGCTCTAGAGGAAGCCTCAGGCTCAATGTATACATTTTTAAGAGAGTGCAATGAGAGTTTGTTTGTGCATCTATGTGTGTGTAAGGGGGGGATGGTTGTCTAGGTGAGTGTGTGTCATCCAGGCTAATCAAACACTCATTCTATTTTTGATCAATACCACTATCATTAATAACATCCTCGTTGTATCTCTCGTACTCTCTGTCTGTCTGTCTGTCTCTCCACATGTCTAAGAGAGCAAGGCTGTTACCATGGTTTCCATCCCACACACACACACACACACACACACACACACACACACACACACACACACACACACACACACACACACACACACACACACACACACACACACACACACACACACACACACACACACACTTTTTCTATTCACTATTCAATTAACTTCAGATGGCCTGTCTCTACCAATATTGGAAATGCTATTTGCATAATAGTACAGTATGCCAATATTGTAGGCCAATGCACTACCTAAAGCAGAACTTTACGAACCAATTCTAGACACTGAGGCCTGAGGCCATTTCCTTTCCATTCTGTTCATTTAAAGTATAAATAGAAAGTGGAACTCATTTGCAAATGATTATTAATTGTCCCTTCGTTCTTTCCTGGTGGTGAAATTTGCCCCAAGCCGAATGTTTTTTACTCTGAGTTCCAGCAAAAGTCAACCAGTGATTATTGATAACAGAAAAACTAAAAAGCCCTCAACAAACATATATTTGATGCATCTTGAAACTCATTACTATATTATCTGATGTCTTCCCCTTTGTTTAAGATTTGTAACAGTTGCAATTGAGTTCAACCAGCTATCATCACAACCAGACAAAGATGCAATCAAAAACGTGTCATTAGAGCTGAACAATAGATCACACTAT